TTGAATTGATTTTGAAATATTTGTGGTAAAAATGTTAAATAAATAAAATAAATATGTAATTAAATACTGGTAATTTAATCCATGGCAGTAAGATTAAATTAATTATTTAAAAAATATGTTTTAATTCTTTTAAGCATAATATACAGTATGTGTGTCCTACATTTTCTAAACAACCCTGTTTGGTCTCTTTCTACATGGATGGAAGACAGATTCATTCTTAATTAATTAATTTGGATTGAATTTTCAACCCTGTTACCTATTCTGATGTTGTGTTGAGTGTTAATGTTTATTGCTTAAAAATATATATTGAGACTAAAATTAAGTTGGCCTATGGGCCAAGCACCTACTTTCACTGTCGGTTTTTTTGGGGGGGGAAAAAAATTGTAATAGGCTACTTAGAGTTCCAGGTCCTGTTTTGTACCCGAATTGTAGAAAGTGCCTTTGACATCTGCCATGGTTAAGCCAGAGAGAAAGAGGAAGTGTTTGCTTCCCATAGTAACTGTTGCGGGGGAAGTGAGGCATCTGGTAAAAATGTAAGCTGATAGAGTTAAAAATGAGAACTAGTATTGAGTCATAGCATTTACATGAAACCAGAAATTTTCACCCTGAATTTAACCTCATTTTAATTTAATTTACTAAAGCCATCTTGCACATGCACTACTGCAGTCCGAACAGCGCCGCCTGTTGGTTGCATATGGGAAAAGCATAGGAGCTAAATTCATATAAATGGTTTTACTTGGAAAGAGGTGAAAACTCATCTATAAAAGGTATTTATTTATTTCGATTTTTTTGTTTATTTTTTTATTTTTTAAATCTTTTTTATTTGTGTGCGAGTAGGCTATACATACACACACACTCACGGTGTGCTGTAATGTTACAAGAATAAACTCATTAGTTCTTGAGTTTAATGCGTAGGAATATAATATAAGTGATGAGATACTGTATAAGAGATAGCATGGTTTGACCAGCGTTAATATGGTTTTCTGTAAATGTGATTTTCCAGTGTCTGTAGATGCAACAGAAGCATTAAAACCTGAAAGGCTCCGTTTATAAGATTACACTGAGAATGAGCTGTGGTGACACAGCACAGATGGCTCCACTTGGGCTTTTAATGGGGTTTAACCTCAGCAAACTCTATGACCTGACAGAGAGAGTTATTCACAGCTGATGTCCAGCAGTGAGAGCCCGAGAGCTGACCCATCACATTCTGAAGTCATGTAAAAGTCTAATCCCAAAAATCGGTATGGTGGTGAAAATGTGTATATTTATTCATTTATATCATAATTACAAATTAATCCACAGTCTCCACAAGCAATCTAGCAGTCCTAGTAATGTTCCTTTACTGAATGTATCTGCATTTTTAAACGAATGGACAATTGGACAGTTGCTGTATCCCAATTCGTCTACATATAGGCTATATTCATCAAAAGTGTGTACTGTTTTTGTGAAAAAAGTACATACTTTTGAGTGTGTAGCAGAATAGCAGGCAAGCTTTAGGACATACTACATCATATGCATCTTTAATAAACAGCTTGGTCGCGTCAATCATCTTATCACAGACAAAATTGTCAACATTCAATTTAACTTAATTTCATATTGTATCACAGAGAAATGTGGTAGCGCGTTAATCTGCCAGTCGTAGGTCTTTCATGCAGAGAAACGTTTTTAAAAGTTAATGACCAGATGTATCATTAAAAAGTTTCATAATCCTGATGTAGATTAAATATACAGTAATATAGATAACATTGAATAATTGTTTTGTTTTTTTTTCAGGTTAGATACTGATCATTAAACACTCTAACCCATTGATCTAAACCTCTTTCCTTAACCGTCCGTCACACTCAGACATCTGCCATGTTTGTAGTTTCTTTACACATTTTATTTGTGTTTGTAGTTCTAATCAAATCCTCAACCAACACACAATGGGTTGTGTTGCAATATTAGCCATTAGAAAGTGCACGGATCTGCAATTGGATTCTAACCGGAAAAACAATTCTAATTTCGAAAACTATTTAGGATGAGAAGTGTGCGAATTGGGATGCAGCTTTAGTCACTCTCTTAATTTGAAACCGAATACTAGTACAGGCCTACATACTACGTTTACCATATCTTTCTACGGCAGAAATAGCAAGAGTATGTGGTTCCGAATTCTGTAACTTGCTTTGTTCCTGTATTAATCAGCCATTTTGAACGAATAGTTTTAATTTCATGATTCAATGACTCACTCGTATAGACAATGATTTGCCGCCACCTACTGGCAGTTTGGTTTCATATTTAAAAGTACAATTTCATATTGGTTAAAGAAATGCGTGGATAGTGGTAAATTAAATGCGTTTATAATAAGACCATTACAAGTGAAATATGAGATAATATTGTTAAATACAACAGATAACAGAGATAATAAAGTAATTTGCATTGCATGAAATGCTTATGTCTGTCTTTTTTTTTTTCTCATATGGGGGCCTCCAATTGTTTGTTGCAAAGGCCACCCCCCGTGTGTGTGTGTGTGTGTCACATTACAAATAGGTTTCTGCACCACTGTTGTATGTATCCTACCATTTCTTCATGAAGTTGGTCTTGAAGTCCTGAATCAGATTCTGTTTCCTCTGCTCATGTTGGTCAGAGGTCATCTGAGGTTTGGACTTTCTAAAGTGATATCAAGCAAGAGGCTAATCAAGACAAATTCAGTTTTCTAAATAACAAAATAAAACACACATTAATAACAATATATATGACAAAAATTGGCTCAAAATGTCCAAAGGAAAAACATTACAATAGAGAAAACAAGTAAATACTGTACACGTGCAGGGGCTCAGTGTGCTTTGTGTTTTGTGTCAACATGTTGTGATTGTAGTAAGAGGCCCATGCTTGCAAACGGGAGGCTTTGGGTCTGTAAAATATTATCCCAGTGTTTATATATCCTCCATATGGCCTCCTGTCCACCAGTGAACATGGGTCATTGGGTCCATATTAAACCATTTAAAATAGAATTTTAAAAGTACACTATTTAACATATGTCACTCGCCTGTACGTGTCTTAGTCATGTCAGTAAATCGAGAAAAATGTTCCAGCTACTTTGTGTATCATGGAACAGGGGTGCGTTTCCCGAAAGTATCGTTAGCTGAACGAGTCTCGTTTCCCGAAACCATCGTTCCAACGAACATTTGCAAAGTCGCTTGGTTAAACGAGCTCTCGAGCTGTAGTTAGAAGCATGGAGGGTTTGCACCCACGTCACGATTTGATCAGTTAAGTTACCCGGATGCGCGGCCATGTTGGAGGTACTCGGATGTAAACAAGAGTATGGATTGCACTGTTTGTATACTTCTGAACACATTGTTACACTTATTTATTATGTCTAGACCACAGAAAAAAACACATGGAAGATGCAAAATCATATGGAGAATGACTTGGTAGGAAAGAGTGAGCGATTATGACAAAACTAAAGTATGCGGCAAAGATCCGAACGATCTAACGTTAGCTTCTCCAGCCCTTATTATTCTTCCTTCTATTTTCTTATCCAATTGGCAACGTTCAGATCAGTCCAAAAAAAGCATATGAAATCCGTTTCAAGCTACCTCCATGTGGTTTGAAAACTTATTTCAAATCTTAAAACTAAATCCGCTCCAGTCTGAATGCTCGGATTGGATTTCGCGTGAAAAAAACGCGACAGAGCTTGTAATAAAACAAGAATCCAATTTTGTTTTGGGCTGTTTTTGGAGAAATGTTGTAAAACAGAGTTCATAGTAAAGCATTATCTATTGTGGAGGTTAAGTTCATTATAAGTTAGTTGCTGTGGTGATGTGCTGTAATATCGAGGAAATATTGTGTCTATCTAATTTCTTTTATCTATTCAGCTTGAGAGGCGCTCTCCATCTAAACTCTGGTTCTAACTCTTAAACTTTAAAGGAACACGCCGTCTTGTGGGGACTTTAGCTTATTCACTGTATCCCTCAGTTAGATAAGTCCATACATACCCTTTTCATCGACATCGTGCATGCATGCCATAACTTTGACGCACCCACGTAACGCTAGTCTAGCTTAGGACAAAAACTGGAAGTAAGGGCTTCAGCAGCATACTTCTCCCAATAAGTGACAAAATAAAGCCAATATTTTCCTATTTATATGTTGTAATTTGTATAGTCACAGGCAGCATACAAACAGTATACCTACTGGGTACTATATTCTCAGAAGGTGAAGCACCGCTACTTGGGGCGGATTGATTTGCTCGCAGCACCTGAGAAGCCCGTGGTGATGAGCAGAGAGTTCGCTCGCGCTAATCACGCTGCAGCGAGGGGTGTCTCAAAAATCTAGCATTTCCTCACGTTTTTAGTGACAGTCGATAATATATGCACGGGACATTGGCGATGACAGTGATGGCCATATACCACACCCACTCCCCACACTTCTTCTCACAGATAGCCACGCCCATTTAAGTTGCATTTTTCAAAAAGATTGAAAGCTAGACTTGAGCTGAAAGAGGGGGGTTTCATTACCCTTTGATGAAAAGACGAGCGTTTTGGGATTACAATTCTGTCATTAGTTATGGCATCAACAGGGTCAATGGTGAGGACGATAACCTGACGATCTCTGTCACCTGGAAACACTTTGATTTAGTGATGTCACAAAACCAGAGACGTTCACCCGAATCCGACTCATTCCAGGTCAAACGACAAAGGAGACACATTTGAGACTCATGTTACAGGTGTAGGCTACAGCGATACTTCTCGACTGATCTCAGTAAATGCTCTCAGATTTCTACCTGTGTTTTTTAGAGAATGTGATGTCCATTGATTTAGTCAACTGCTGCCCTCTACTGTAAGAAACCCGTAGCTGCAGTGTTATATCAATACATACAGGGGCACTTCACTTATTCCATCCAGAAACTAAATGGAGCAAAATACTATCCAATAAATAACTAGTTTTATGGATTTGAAGCAGTTTTCAGTCTTATAGGATAGCAAATATTAAAATCGTAATCACACATTTGAAATAATATATGGGAAAAACGTTTATTATTAGCATTGGAACTTTTGTGTCGCTTTGGTTTATACGATTATATACTACATATATATATATATATATATATATAATTTTGAAGACATGATGGGCTCTCACTGAAATGGCATTAACAAGGTGTCATTATGATACTGACTGACCTGACCCAAACACAACTTTACAATATGACAGAAAATCAAACACCTTACATGTAAACAACAATAAATGTGACTAATAACATTATATTCACAGTTCACAAATTCAGATATTACATGTAATAACCATAGATTAAGAGAAACATTAATGCTTGTGAACAACAAAAATCCCCAGGGAATATAGAACTGATATATGAAACTGTCAGCACTGCAGTCGTGACTTTTCATTTATCTGGAGTTTCACTGATAGGTCATTTCATACATATGTCATCTCAGGTTTCTCATTTCTCCTATGAGATTCACTCTTTAAGAAGATGGACAATATGAATTTAGCACTCTCTTTAGGATTGAAAGTGGCCGGTACAATGAGATACTCTCCTGGTTCAAGCTTGAAGAATTTCATCACATGTCTTGCATTGATGAAGTTCCCACTACTTGCAATGGGGCGTTTGCGGTAGAAGAACTTGTCCGGGAGCTCCACATCTTTCATCTAAAGGAGAATGAAATATAAACTTGTATTCAAGCAACCCATTTATTTTGTAAATACCATGTCATTCATGCATTTTAAAAGCAAAGTTTTACACTTTTGAGCTTGAATAAACTATATGTTTTACTTGCCTCTGGTGGAATCTGTTAAAGTAAAAAAAATAGAATAGCACATCATTAATAAGTGAAAACCAAAATTACTGTATTTCTGACTCCCAATAGAGTTTTTTGTTAATACTGACCGCAAAAACATCGAAGCCAATGGCATAGTTAGAAACTTCACTTCTGTTTCTCTTCTCATGGTTCTGCATGAGGGACACCAGAATGTTTTCAGGGCACTGACCACTACATTCCTTATCAAGCTCCTCAATCTTCACCCGAAACTGAGGGTTCGTCCAGAAAGAGTCTACAAGACGTCCATCGAGTCAGACATTTGAGGTACAAGCAGTAGACAAACACACACACACACAAACCATATGGCCAATATTATGCATAGACACCCAAAAAGTATCTAATATTTCTATTCATGCATGCTAGTATGTAATTGTATGAAATGCTCACATGTCACTCTCTCTCATTATATATTTAATGAGCTACCTTTATTATTGAAGCAGCCACCAGCTGTAGTCCCATCAACCCAGCTGTCTTTGTAACATGTGGAAGTCCATCTGCATTCAGAGGAACTGTCCAGAAAATCAGGACTGAGGCAGCAAATATCAATGTCTTCAAAGTTTTTGGTGAAGTCCTCCATTGACATCCTGCCATAAAATGACTGAGTTACTGAAAGCATTTGATTCATTAATGCTAGAGATCACATCTGAAACTACAGTTAATGCTCACCAGAACTCTCCGTCATTGGCCAAAGAACGACACCTGGATTTCTCCTTCTCACTCACTTTGTCCCACAACGATGACCTAAAGTTATGCAAAAGCATATATTAAAATATTGCATGAGGTTATGCTAACTGGGAAATTAGCAACAGCAACTAAAGAGGAAAAACTGATATACTTTTGAACTGAATAAGCTTCTGTTGTAGTTAATATTTTTCTAAAAGGGTATAGTCGAGAATTAAATAAGATGCCAGAAAGCAATTGTACCTCAGTCAATTTAAAATCCATTTTAATATTGTTTAACCATCTTTTTATACATTATCAAACATATTTCTCTCAAATTAAAAGGCTGAAATGTTTTAAAGTAACCATAGCACAAAACATTAGAATCCACCAACTCTTTTTAAGTAATTGATGTTTGTGCTTTGTTCCCCACCCAAATGATGCCATTTCTCAGAAGATGATGTCACTAAAGAACTGGCTATTGTTGTTAAAGGTATATTCTATTACAAAAGACTGACTAAAGGCAACAAAAGCTCATTCATTCAAAATATCCTTCAGTGAATGAGAGTTAGCAGAATCCGGCGATATGAATGACAGTGACCGTTGATGTAACTAACAGCCAACAGCACTTTTAACCTCCAATGATATAATCTACGTTAGTGTGAACATTCCTTAACAAGACCAGACAAGATTTTAAACTAAAAACAGAAACTGTTTTGGCCGTTTATTTACATGACAACAGTGTTTTTGGGGGCTTGTGCAAGTTTTTGAAAACGATAATGTTATAAGTTCTGTGTAAAGTACGCTTTGGTCACATGAAGCGTTTCTCAATGCCATTGCCTAATAAACAATTCTCAATGCAGGAGCCATCTCTACTTGAGGTTTTGGTTATTCTTCAGATATTCATGGAATTACCCCAAAAATATAAAATTGATCACCAATTGCTATCATCTTGAAAAAACACCTGAATTTTGTATTCATATAGGGACTTGGTAAAAATAGCAGCTTTCAAAAATGGCAAAGTAGTGGTACAATTTAAAATGAATTATTAAAATGTTGATGTTTTGATTAAAGAAACCTAGAAAAAAAGGTATTTAGCTGGGTGAGTTTAATATTTTATCTAATGTACCACATATGATGGGGACATGATTACTTTTAAAGATTTACAGTTTGAAAGCTATAAGCTAAATGAAAAACCTGATTTAGCATATTAAACTCTCAAACCTCATTAAGACCTTTTATTTATTTATACTTAATATAATAGTCATGAATCATCTGGTGGTACAAATAAAGAATGATGCTTGATCAGTGTCTATAATTTCATTCTCTTACTTGTCACTCCAGTCACCGGTCCACTCGCCTTTCCCCCAAGGGTTCAACACTCTCACCAGCTGAACTGTTTTTTTCTGGCATGTTACCTGTAGAATACAACATGACATGACACTTTTAATGCATAAATACATATGCCATTTCACCAGGGATATTGTGAAATAAGCTATTTACCTCATGACTGAAGTTTTTAAACACAATGCTTCGTACAAAACATTTTTTCAAACTTTTCTTGCATAATCACAGGCTTGACGTAAGAGATACACATGAATGCAAACTGAACAAAGGACATACCAAAGTGTGGAGCTCATGCTGAATACAGCTGAATGCAATTAGTAAATGAATACTGGTGTCCACAATAACAAAATGGTTAATATAAGAAGCAAGTATTGTTGTAGTTCAGGGGTGTAGAGTCACAAATGATTTGCTCTTATCGTCCGATCGTAGTTGTATCTCGCTATTAGTGTTACTTGATCTTAGTGATGTATTTGCTGTATTTAAAAAGACTGTTGGCATTAGTGGAATTGCACTAGCATGGTTTAAAACATACTTATCTGACCGTTATCAATTTGTAGCAGTAAATTAAGAGAGGTCTTATTGATCACAAGTTCAGTATGGCGTACCACAAGGCTCAGTACTAGGACCGTTGCTGTTCACCATGTACATGCTGCCATTAGAAGATATCAATAGGAAACATGGAATTAGCTTTCACTGTTATGCCGATACTCAGCTGTACAGTATATTTCTTCAAAACCTAGACTAAAAATCTCTTTGACCTAGCATTCACACAATACATTATTGTCTACCATTTTTCATGTGAACGGCATCAGCGTTTATCACAGGTTCGCGTTTAAAGTCTGTTTACAGGGAACGGTGTCAACTTAGCGGCCCCTAATTTAATAACAAATGATAATTTCACCGGAAGGGAATCAATCAAAACTAACTTTAGCTGGAAAATAACATTATTCAAGAACTAAAACCAAACCAATCTCTGAGTATTACTTTATATTATAATAAGTTTATCTCTGTTAAGCTGCTTTGAAATAATCTACGTTGTTAAAAGCACTATATAAATGAGGATGACTTGACTATAGTATAGCCTAGGTCTATCTGTAGAGTTCAGATCTAACCCTTCATCCAACCTATCTGTAATTATCAAGCACTCCTGAATATCTAAAATAGCTGGTTCTGTTGTGTTTGATCAGGGTTGCAGCTGAACTTTGCAGGACGATAGATCTCCATGAACAGGATTTGGCACCCCTGTTGTAGTTAAACACTTGTCTTTCTATAAAAATCAACCTCAGGCTTATTAAAAACTTTCCCACGTGGTTACATGTGAAGACAGGTCCCAGAACAGACCCTTAAGGGCATTACTCAAGAATTCAACACAAAGTTAAAGTGCGGGAGGTTTTAAAACTAAATGGACTGGAAATGATGCAATGGAAAAAGTGATGCTCATATGGAGAACAAAATCAGAATGGCAAGCAAGATTTTTAAACCGTAGTGGGTTTACTATCTATCTATCTATCTATCTATCTATCTATCTATCTATCTATCTATCTATCTATCTATCTATCTATCTATCTATCTATCTATCTATCTATCTATCTATCTATCTATCTATCTATCTATCTATCTATCTATCTATCTATCTAACTGTCTAACTGTCTAACTGTCTAATCTGATGGCACTGTGATCTGACATTTGATTCTGTGCAGACTTACCTTGTAAACCCCAGTCACTGTATATGCATGGCCTTGAACAATGCCATTGGGTAATACTGTGTTTGCAGATGTTTTCTAATATGGTATGAAAAAAAGACATTGAATCAATTATGCTGTCCTATGAAATATGTATCAGGGAATAGGAAAAGATTGTTTTATGTAGCTAATGTTCTACATTGTTTCCTACATATTACATTTTAGTGTTCACTATAGTAATTTGTATTTAATTGAATATTGAAATCTTTAATGGACAAGCCTGAGGTCACTGCTTACCCCCAGAAAGGTGCCACAGGCCATCAGGGCCTTTGCTTTTGCTGCACGGTTCATCAGGCTCCACAAATCAAAAGACGTTTTTGCTGTTTCAAAGTGCACATGGACGCCACCAGTGAAGTCCAACAGCGCCTCAGACACAAGACCAGCGTGCATGTCAGCATAGGAGCCGCACACCCTGTAAAAGCCATTGTACATTTTAATACAGTGGACCAACAAGTCTTTAAAGAGTGATTCTGTGGGATTACTCAAATTGTTGATGATTAAAATAGACCAGATGTGTCCAATCCTGCTCCTGTCGGAACACTGTCCTGCAGAGTTCAGATCCAACCCCAATTAAACACAACAGCTAATCAAGATCTAATTAGGCACATAAACAAACATGCTTTTATACTATGAAAGTAGTATGTTTTTAAGAATAAACCTACTTGGCATAAGCTTTCTCCAGCAAGGCAGGCCAAAACTCATTAGATGTTTTTGAATGAACAAAAATGAGCTTGCCATCGATTGTTGGCAGTTTGTCATCAATGATGACGTCAATCCATTTCCCAAACCTCCAGAACTATATGGATAAAGCAGAAGGTTTGAGGTCTGATCATTTGATTAAATAAGATGTATTTAAGTAATTTTGAAAAAGACCAAATAACTCACTCTAAAGCGAAATATCCCTGCATAATCTTCACCAAATGACTGGCCATCTGGCATGACCTGGTCCATGACATCGTCCTGAAAGGTTAAAGCTCCAACTGAAGCAAGAAACCAGCAGTTTCCTATGGTAAAAGCGCAAACATTAGCAAAAATAGATCTTTCATTGAGTAAACAAAGAACATTCTGGTCTATATGGAGTGATGCGATTTACTGTATAGATACAGTATAATTCAAAATCAACACTTACTGGAGTATGTAAACACAGATATAAACATACCTAAATAAGATCCTTGGGAATAGTCAAACCTGGAAACCCCCTTAACAATGAGTTGAGGGTCTGCCACTATTTTCTAAGGAGAGAGAGATTCATTAAATTAATACATTATACAATGAAATTTGCCCTAAGGATTTGGGAACACCAGTAGACATTTAGACTCCTATAATGTATTTTGAATCTGCTTTTAAGACACTTAAAGGCACAGTACGCCTCTAGAGGTCCTGTTTGAAAACTATATAAAAAAAAAAAAGCCATAGCCTGATGATGCCGTCACTCAACGTAGGATCATGGCAGTTGTCTTCTTCACCTCAACAGCCGATGGAAAGCAATCCAACAGGACTAATGATTGAGCTAATGTGTTTCTTTTATTAACGTTATTGTGGTATGAAGAGGGTCGGGACCGAGAGCTGTGGGACATGTTACCTCGCAAGTGTAGAATTACTTCTCAGGTCACTTTATCTGATAAATAAAAATTGTGGGGTGTAACAGCGCTGTTTTACAATCT